TTTTTTTCTCTCTTTCATTTTAAGTGGGGCCCCGCTTTGGCGTTCCCAAATCCATATTTAAAAATTATGACCAAAACTCGTAAAACGGCTCCCCCCACCTGACTTTCTAATACGGTCACTGTGCCCCACCCGGTTTGTTTACATATTCTCTGAGATCTGTAAACACTAAGTCTCTCCATTATGTCTGGAAACTCCAAAATTTCAAGTGTTTTTAAAAGTTTTTATATATACTCTGATAATTATACTTATGTATACCTGTACCTAAATAAACTTACATAATGTGCTGGCATGCAGGTACACATTAAAATCAGTAAGTGTGTCTTATACCTCGAGATGTCATGTTAGTAATGATGATGATAATCACCGAGTCTCATTTAAATGTTGTATATTACGTTAATATACACATTTTCATTAATCCATCTATGATATTTTTTCAAAATTATATAATAAACACGATGCATAACATATAAGATGATAAATACACCCTACAGTAGAATAAACAAATATGAGATGTCGTAGCCAGACGACTTGCACAAATGACGCCATATTAAAATATAATAATCACCGAGTCTTATTAAATGTCCTATGTTACGTTAATATACACATTTTCATTAATCCATCCATATTTTTTCAAAATTATATAATAAAGATGATAAATACACCCCACAATAGAATAAATAAACAAATATGAGATGTGCTAGCCAGATAACTTGTACAAGTGATGGCAAGAATAACATTTTCTCTAGTCTAACATGAGAAAATGTGTTACTGGGGGTAACTGTAGAAAATTATTCCTTTCGTATGTAAGTTTATTCAGGTATACACAAATACAGTTACATAGATTATCATATATAACAGCATATGTGTAGAGAACCTGGGATAAGCCAAAAAAGTCAGAGTGACTTATTTCCACTGCCTTCATTCAGAGCGTCATTTCTTCTAAAAATGGTGTTACATGAGAATGGGAGTGTTGCTCTTTATTTATTCTACCGTATCAATGTAGAGACGACTTGTATACAATGTAACTTGTACACAAACCGGACGTGTACACTTTGTTTACAAAACTTACATTCGCCTGGTTGTTTACATAACTGTCCTCTCTCATGTACTCATTCTCTCTCTCATTTATTCGTTTTATCTCGTTTACTCACCCCTGACCCTACATTAAGACTACAAATATTTTAAGGTAAGTAATGAGTAAACTCTATATACATTTTATCGCTCTGGGATGCTTAAATGTAATAGAATATTATGTGTAGGTGGGTTGGCCTGGTATGGTAGCCCGGCTGACTACCATACATACCACACTTGATTTTTTACAATAAATACTACTTGTCTCACCCTAGATTAAGACTATAAATATTTTAAGGTAAGTGATGAGTGCACTATGTGTGTATTGTACTTTTTTATTGTTTTTTGATGCCTAGTTCTATTGCTAGCTTAATACTATATGTTAGTGTAAACTTGTTATCTAGTATTTGTTTGCATTTGTAAGTGGAAAAACAGGGTGTTCCGCTTTACAGCAGTAGCCTGGAACCTAACCTGCTGTATAAGTGGGGCCCTACTGTACTATGGGGCTTTTTTTTTTTTTTTTTTTTAGTATTATAAAAGAATTCTGCTAATCATTTTAAACTCCTACAAAAATTTGTATTACAGTCTGGAAGAAAAATGAACTTTTCAAAGCACAGGGGTGAAAGAAAACATTAAAAACGAAGAAACTATGTGGTAAGCTATGGTGAAAAAAAAATTCTTATTTTCCTAATACTAAACAATTTTCTACAAATCTTCATAAATTTGATTTGAAAGAATGCAACAGCACTTTACAATGCCATCTGTACATATCTATTACTGGTAATGGTTCCTTGGATCATTCCCCAGCCTCCCACAGGCCTATCTCAGACCAGCCATTTTAAAATCAGAAAAAAAAAAAAAAAAAAAAAGCCAGCTCAGGGTCCGTGTAGCAGAACTAGTATGTGATGAGCTGAGTTCGCTCAAACTGTGAGTGATATATTTTGGCCTAGATACGAGAGAATGGGTCTACGTGGTGAATGTGCACAATATAAAAATCCTGTCCTATGCAGTGCACGATGGGAAAAACAAAACTAACCATGCGTATGGCTTAAAATAACGACTTTGTCATGTATTTTCGAATGATTTTTATAGTTTTATTCTCAGATTCTTGATATCATTTGATAGAATGGAAGATACACGTACTACAGAAATAAAGACGATTTTGATTGGTTTCAGAAGCGGAAGAGGCTTGAAATTAAGCTCAAAGTAGATGAAATATTTGATTTTTGCCAATATTCCAGAAGATACAAATCATGTCACCTGTCCAATACACATCCAACAGATCTAATACGAGTTCCTGAATGGGCTGACATTATTTATATGTACAATTATTACAATGCAGTAATCTGCTTAACAGTAAATATATATTCTAGTCTTTGTGAAAAAAACTTCAAAATGGAAAGCAAGTGTAATATAGGAGAGGCTGGAGGACATAACTAATGAAGTGAAAATGTTTTAGGGCCAGGAATCTCTACACTGTTTATTCTAGACCGTTTCAAAATTGGCAATTGTGTGAAATTGGCCAAATTACCAATTTTTTATCTCGCTAGAGGGTAGTTGAAATAGTTAAATCGGTGGATTATTGTGCTCAATCAATAAAATGGAAGCCACATTTTAGCAAAATAGCTAAGAGTTTGGTCAACTGGAACAATGGAATTTAGCTAAAACAGGACTCAAAGTGGGCAAAATTGCCGGTGCATAAATATCGCCAAGGCAACCAAGTTTACAAAAGCATAATTCCGTAGGTTTTCCATCAATTTTGAACTTTTGGTCTCATTACCTCCGAAAAAAAAGATTATCGTTTCATAAGTTTCAGATCGGGAATCCGGACCCTGAAAGGGTTAAAATTCCCTGACTGTGAAACACGCAAGAGCAGTAAATATAAGTATTAGTATGGTTTATCTATCAGCTTACAGACTTATGAATAAAATAATACCAGCAATCTTACCATTGCAAAATATTTAAAAATCTTCCATTTCACATTCATACAACAGGATAATATTAAACAAACTTGCCTTATATGCACAAGGCCATCCTGGACACCCTCATCTGTCCCACGTGCTGCATCAGCAAAGGGGTCTGAAATGCAAAATATTTATTAAGGGTCAAGTTTTACGGCATTGTATTATTATAATAAAGAAGTACTAAACCCACTAGAGTCATACAGCTATGGTATCATATATTCAGAGCTTATCTCATTCCCGCAGCCTCACTGACGTTTCTGGGTTATCCTAGGTAATTTACACTATGTACAAGTGTATTTACGTGTACCTGTGCCTAAATAACCTTACTTACATGTACGTATTTACAATAAACTGTCCATCCACCTCATACAAAATGTTTCATTTTATGTCTTAACACACCAAGGTGGACACATTTGCTCCTGCTTAGAGAAAGAACAATTTCCACATGTGGTGAAAGCAGCAGATAATGTGGTTCATGGTGAGGAGATATTCAAAGGAGATATTCGTCTAATGGATTCCAGAGTTGAGACTTGTGGATTTTAAAGTGAAATATCAAAACATCAGACAACTGCTACTCTGCAAAAGTGCCATTTATGTTGAACAGTGCATCTGAGCCCATCAACAGTCATTACGTACATTTTACCCAGGACAAATCGTTTAACAGGTTATTTATAGCAATAGAAAAATAGCTATCTGTTGTGAGAAATTTACATAATAGCCAAATTAAGTACTGTCAATTTTTTTTTAAGAGGATCATGCAACTGAGTTATATTTTAAACTGGAAAGATGCTTTATCTTGATAAGTTTACAAACAATCCAACCCAGCTGAGCCCAACAGCCTAGAACAGGTGTAAAACTGTTAGGTTAAGCTGGGCAATATTACAATATTACATTAAATTTTAGTAAAAAAAAACCGGATTTACAATGCCACTAAATAAATCTCACTGTTAAAACTAATATAAAACACCGAAGAATTTACATAGGGGCTACTGAACAAGTGATGTTATCCCGGGAAGTGCCAATGAATTTAGGGAAGCAAATGAGATCTTACATTCTCCCTGCCATTGGTATACAGCTCCCCTGCAGAGTATGCTAGTTTGGGGTGCCTTTGTTTCCCTGGCAGGGGTGGAATGCTGTTTTTTTTTATTCACCCTTCCACATGCTTTTACAGGTCTGTCCTTAGCAACCAGGGCATGGCTATGGGGTGCATTAGTGATTGCTGGGTCCATGGCAGGGACTGCCTCCTAATTTTAGTTACGGCAACTCAGGTTTATTACTCTTATTCTAGTTTTTCAGTAACGAAGATTTATTAAGGGCGGGTTGTTTATGCTCACTGAAACAGTCAGCTCAATCCAATGGTCTTGTCAAGTGGCCCTATGGGATACAACATTCTCTCAATCTAGAAACACTCGTGGTTTAGTTCTCAGAGTGGTAAGTGGAGACAAAAAAAATAAAAAATAGCTCTTAACAGCAACCTCAGCTTATGAAAAAATTAAACAAATGTATTGTGTGATCCTTTATTGACTGTTTTGCCCACACAGTGGGCTTTATCAAGTCACAGATCTTCACCCACTGTGTGGGTGAAATGTAGTCGATAAAGGATAGCATTATACTGCATTCGTTTAATTTTTCCAATGTGTTGGTCTTTTATGCCTTTTATCTCCATCCTCAGCTCATACTGAGGGAGCAGGGAACCCATTCTGGCACAGGGAACCCACACTGGCACAGGGAACCCACACTGGCACAGGGAACCCACACTGGCACAGGGAACCCACACTGGCACAGGGAACCCACACTGGCACAGGGAACCCACACTGGCACAGGGAACCCACACTGGCACAGATGAAGTGTTGGGTATGTTTCTGTATGGTTCCACCATTCACCTACCAGCCAATGGGTACCAGGAAGTTCATAGACTGTTAGGGGTTGCATCCTGGGGATAAGAGTCAAGGACCACAGCGGAAAATTTTAGATACACAGACACTACTGGGATGTCCTTGGTGGCTAACCTCAAGGTTAAAAAAAAAAAAAATCCCCAACAAAATCAAATCTTAATTAAGCTAACTTTTTTTTCCTTTTTAGTTTTAGTTTTGGTTAGGTTGTTTCATTCCATTTGTGCACCAAAATCTCAAATTTACAACAAATTATAATGTACAACTGACACTGTAAAATCCAGAGGAACAAATATCAATTACCAAAGGAAAAAAAAAAGAAAAAAGGAGGCACTAAAATCATACATCAAGGAATTATGTACTCACTGGGTACACCAAGGAATTATGTACACACTGGGTACACCAAGGAATTATGTACACACTGGGTACACCAAGGAATTATGTACACACTGGGTACACCAAGGAATTATGTACACTGGGTACACCAAGGAATTATGTACACACTGGGTACCCCCAAGGAATTATTTTACACACTGGGTACACCAAGGGAATTATGTACACACTGGGTACACCAAGGAATTATGTACACACTGGGTACACCAAGGAATTATGTACACACTGGGTACACCAAGGAATAATGTACACACTGGGTACACCAATAATGTACACACTGGGTACACCAAGGAATTATGTACACACTGGGTACACCAAGGAATTATGTACACACTGGGTACACCAAGGAATTATGTACACACTGGGTACACCAAGGAATTATGTACACACTGGGTACACCAAGGAATTATGTACACACTAGGTACACCAAGGAATTATGTACAACATGGGTACACCAAGGAAATTATGTACACACTGGTACAACCAAGGAATTGTACACACTGGGTACACCCAAAGGGAAATTTTGTACACACTGGGTACAACAAGGAATTATGACACACTGGGTACACCAAGGAATTATGTAAAACACTGGGTACACCAAGAATTATGTACACACTGGGTACACCCAAGGAATTATGTACACACTGGGGACACCAAGGAATTATGTCACACTGGGGACACTAAGGAATTATGTACACACTGGGTACACCAAGGAATTATGTACACACTGGGTACACCAAGGAATTTTTGTACACCACTGGGTACACCAAGGGAAAAATGTACACACTGGGTACACCAAGGAATAATGTACACACTGGGTACACCAAGGAATTATGTACACACTGGGTACACCCAAAGGAATTATGTACACACCTGGGTACCCCCAAAGGGAAATTTTGTACACACTGGGTACACCAAGGAATTATGTACACACTGGGTACACCAAGGAAAAATGTAACACTGGGTCACCAAGGAATTAATGTACACACTGGGTACACCAATAATTTTACACAATGGGTACACCAAGGAATTATGTACAAAACTGGGATACACCAAGGAATTATGTAAAACACTGGGTACACCAATAATGTACACACTGGGTACACCAAGGAATTATGTACACACTGGGTACACCAAGGAATTATGCACACACTGGGCACACCCAAAGGAATTATGCCACACTGGGCACACCAAGGAATTATGTACACACTGGGTACACCAAGGAATTATGTACACACTGGGTACACCAAGGAATTATGTACACACTGGGGTACACCCAAGGAATTATGTACACACTGGTACCCAAGGAATTATGTACACACTGGGTACACCAAGGGGAAATTTTGTACACACTGGGTACACCAAGGAATTATGTCACAATGGGCAACACCCAAAGGGAATTATGTACACACTGGGTACACCAAGGAATTATGTACACACTGGGTAACACCAAGGAATTATGTACACACTGGGTCACCAAGGAATTATGTACACATGGGTACACCAAGGAATTATGTACACACTGGAGTCACCAAGGAATTATGTACACACTGGGTACACCAAGGAATTATGTACACACTGGGTACACCAAGGAATTATGTACACACTGGGTACACCAAGGAATTATGTACACACTGGGTACACCAAGGAATTATGTACACACTGGGTACACCAATAATGTACACACTGGGTACACCAAGGAATTATGTACACACTGGGTACACCAAGGAATTATGTACACACTGGGTACACCAAGGAATTATGTACACACTGGGTACACCAAGGAATTATGTACACACTGGGTACACCAAGGAATTATGTACACACTGGGTACACCAATAATGTACACACTGGGTACACCAAGGAATTATGTACACACTGGGTACACCAAGGAATTATGTACACACTGGGTACACCAATAATGTACACATGGGTACACCAAGGAATTATGGTACACACGGGATACACCAAAGGAATAATGTACACACTGGGTACACCAAGGAATTATGTACACACTGGGTACACCAAGGAATTATGTACACAATGGGTACACCAAGGAATTATGTACACAATGGGCACACCAAGGAATTATGTACACTGGGTACACCAAGGAATTATGTACACACTGGGTACACCAAGGAATTATGTACACACTGGGTTAAACCAAGGAATTATGTACACACTGGGTACACCAAGGAATTATGTACACACTGGGTACACCAAGGAATTATGTACACACTGGGTACACCAAGGAATTATGTACACACTGGGTACACCAAGGAATTATGTACACATGGGTACACCAAAAGGGAAATTTTGTACACACTGGGTACACCCAAAGGGAAATTATGTACACACTGGGTACACCAAGGAATTATGTACACACTGGGTACCCAAGGAATTATGTACACATGGGTACACCAAAGGAATTATGTACACATGGGTACACCAAGGAATTATGTACACACTGGGTACACCAAGGAATTATGTACAAAACTGGGTTTCACCCAAAGGGAAATTTTGTACACATGGGTACACCAAGGGAATTATGTACAACTGGGTACACCAAGGAATTATGTACACACTGGGTACACCAAGGAATTATGTACACACTGGGTTTCACCAAGGAATTATTTTACACACTGGGTACACCAAGGAATTATGTACACACTGGGTACACCAAGGAATTATGTACACACTGGGTACACCAAGGAATTATGTACCCCACTGGGTACACCAAGGAATTTATGTAAAAACAACTGGGTAAACCAAGGAATTATGTACACACTGGGTACACCAAGGAATTATGTACACACTGGGTACAAACCCAAGGA